GGGGCAGGTGGGCAGGGGCCGGCCCAGTGCCCGGAGGGCCAGCTGCAGCTGCTGGGAGGCCTGGGCGCAGTCCCCCTGGGAATAAGGTTTCCCGGTGAAGCCAGGTCAGAGCGCCCTGAGCACAACATCCCTCCAGCTCTGACGGTCCCTCCAGCTGGGGTCCCCGCAGCGCTGAGCTGGGCCCCGAGGGTCAGGGGGAGAGTGAGCAGCGGACAAGAGCGGAGAGGACAGGCTAGGTTCCTGGCCCGCCCGGAGGGCAGGGAGGAGTGGGTGATGCCAGTGCCCACCCGTTCCGGGCAGCCCTTACCCTGGCCAGGTCCAGGTCCGCCTGCTTGCGGTGCCTCCAGAAGTGCACGGCGGGGCCCGAGTGGGGCCGCGTGACTGGCTCTCCATAGACAAAGAGAAGCGCCAAGGAGCCCAGCGCCAGCAGCCCGTTAGTCAGCCAGACCAGTGGGGGCAGCAGCCGCGGCGCCCAGCCAGGGCCCTCTGCGGGCAGACAGAGGCTGGGGGCAGAGCTCCCAAGGCATGCAGAGCCCAAGCCCACAGGCCTAGAGTCTGCATCCCCAGGGTCCCCCCCCCACTGCCGAAGACACCCATGCCAGCCTGTCCTACCTCTGTCCTCAGTGCCCAGCACGCTGCGCCCAGAGCCCTGGTGGGTGCTGGTGGTATCCAAGGGGCCAGGGAGAGCCCAGCTGCCCAGCAGGGAGGCCAAAGGGTTGCAGGAGAGACAGAGGAAGAGGAGTGCGCACAGGGCCAGGCGGGAGCGGTCCAGCAGGCCCCGGCTGTGGGCGGGTGGCGGCTCCGGCTTCGCCTGCGGGGCGGGCAGGGTGAGGACAGCGGAGGGTCTGGGGAGCGTGGCTGGGGCAGGAGGGACAGCGCTCTTCCCACCCTCACTAGGGGACCCCATGTGCCCGGGCCTCAGGCTTTCTCTCTATAAAATGGGAGGTGGGACATGTTGGGCTTCTTCTGACCCAGTCCTGGGGTCAGAGGGTATCGCTGGGAGCCAGGCAGGGGCCACCCCGCAGGCCCCACCTGGCTGTCCTCAAAGACGGGGCTGTCGGGCTCCGAGTCACTGCTGCTGCCGCCGCCGCCCTTGCTGCCGAGGGACAGCGGGCTGCTCCGGGAGGGCGAGCCTGCGTCTGACGGCGGTGGGCTCAGCGTGTCCACCTCAGGCTTTATGCCCTCCATGGGCACGTCGGCGTCTCCTCCACCGCCACAGGCTGACACCAGGTCCCTCAGAGGTTCTACAGGCAGGAGAGGAGCGGGGTGGGGGTTAAGGTAGAGACCCCGCCCCATCCACATCAACTTAGGGCCCTGGGGGAGGGAACTGGGAGCTGGCCTAGCTTCTGAGGGCTAATTTAGGGGAAAAGAGAAGCTAAGGGCCTAGGGTCCTTGTAGGGTCAGAGCTTAAGGCGAGACGGGGTGGGGCAGGGCCAGAGCGAGGGGCCCTGGGAGGCCAGGACTCACTGCTTTTATGCGCAGCAGCGCGCAGACTCAAGTTTTCCTGCTTGAGTTTCTGGTTGCTCTGCTGTAGAAAGCGAATGTAGTCAATGGCCTTGCGCAGGACAGCAGATTTATTCAGCTGCAGGAGACAGCACAGTGGCCAGTCAGGCCTGGCAGGTGGGCACCTGAGCAGGGGGTGGGGCTGCTGGTGGGACAGCTGCCCCAGGGCCTTTGCACTGGCTGTTCCTGCTACATGGAATGCTCCTCCCCAGGTGCACCCAACCTCACAGGAGGGGCATGAGGGTTAGTATGTAAAATGCCACAACAGTGCCTCACTAACCGCTGGTAGCAGCATTATTGCCACCTTCATGGCTCACTCCCTCACCCCCAAGTCCCTGCCTTACACCTGACACTTGGTGAGGCTTTTCCTGACCTGATTCTCGTTGGCACCTCCCAGTCCTCTCCCTGCGTAACGTGAGCCATTGGGGCCGTCTACCCGTCACTCATCTCTCATTTATTGTCATCCCAACTAGGACATCAGCTCCTCGACAGGAGGGTTTTGTGTCTGTTCTCTTTATCCCTGGTGCTTAGAATAGCCCCGGGGCACAGGGAGCCCCCTCAACGTTTAGCTGAATAAATAAAGTGGCCAGACCAGCAGACTGATGCCCCAGTCAGGCCCAGTCCTCCTCCTCCCCCAGCAGCCTCCCTCCCGAGCGCCCTCTGCCTGTGCTGGCACCTTCGCCTCAGCGCCCACCACCAGGTCCTTGAGCTCGATGATCTTGTCATTGATGGAGGAGCGGTAGCGCTTCTCAATCGCATTGTGGGCTGTCCGCTTCTCGCCGCGGCTCTGGGCCGCACCCAGGGCCTTCCCACTGGCCACCAGCCGACTGATGGGCAGCTTGTCAGCGTCCACGACCAGCGGCACTGTCGCCAAGATGGCCCCGCCACTCACCAGGGTCTGCGGAGCCAGGCAGGGGTAGCCAGGCAGGGGTTACCGGGAGGGCCTGCGTGTGTAGACCCACTACCCTTCTGCCCTGCCCATGCCACCCACCTGCAAGGGCCCGGTCTGCACAGCCGTGCCAGCAGCCAGGGAGCCAACACCCGCCGCCTTCGCAGGGGCTCCCAGGTCTGCCTTCACGGCCGTCAGGAGCAGCGAGTCGGCCTTGATGAAGTGGGGCTGCAGCAGGACCTGCGACAGGGAGGCCCCCGCTCTCAACTGTGCCTGGGCCAGAAGCTGCCACCCCCAACGCCTGGCCAAACCCCTTACCGGGACCTGCTGGATCTGTGAGGTCACAGTGGCTGTTCCAGGGGCCACTGTGGTGGGGGCTGTGGCTGTCAACAGTGGCTGGGGGGCTGCACTCTGAACCTGGGCGTGCAAGGAGACTGGCGGGCCACCTGGCGAGCCAGGCAGAGGCTGTGGGGTGATCCCTGGAGGGGTCCCTGCAGAAATAAAGTCTGGGCTGTGGGGACCAGCTGCTCTCACCCACTCTCAGCCCTGCCTCAGGGCCGGTCACTGTGTGACCGTGGAGGAGTCATTACTCTGTGGCCTGTTTCCTCCCCAGCGCCCCTGCTGGGCTCTGAGTGAAGGTGCTCGCCCGCGGGGCAGGTGAGTCTGGAAGGCGGCGTTGAAGTGCCGCCCAGCAGAGTGAGAGGCAAAGCTTATTAACCCAACAGAACCCAGTGCTGAGACCACCCACGTCTCCCCCTGCGAATCCTCTACCGACACCCACACCGCAGCCATCCGCCCCCCGCCCTGCTCCCCTCCCTCCCACGCCCTCACCTGTGGAAAAGCCTCCCGCGGGGCTGGGATAGCCCGGCACAGGGCTGGGGCTCGAGTTGAGCTGCAGTGGGGCTGAGGCCGGAAAGCTCTGGGGCGGGAGGGCCCCTGGCAGGGGTTGTGGGGTGGGGGGCTGCAGGATGGTCAGTGGCACTGGCTCCTCCTTGATCCCAGGCCCGGGGGAGAAGGCAGGCCCAGGTGGGTACATCTTCAATGCGGGCACAGGCTGGGGAGGGGACAACAGTGGGGGGATGGCCTTGGGCCCCCCCAGAAAGCCTTCCAGCGGGGAGCCCATAGAGGCATGTGGTGGAGAGGAGCCGTCCGGGGAGCGGGCTTCGGGACGCGCGGGGTCTGCGCCCGCCGCTCCGCCCCCAGCGTAGGGCGGGTCGAACAGGCCTGGAAAGTCCGCGTCTTGGTTGCTGAGGAGCTGGAGCATGTCTGGGGAGGAGAAGAGACGTGAGGACAGGAGCGGGGCTGGCGCGGGAAGAACGTCACGCCTGTGCGCGCCCATCCACACGGCTGCCATGTGAAGGCAGTGCACCCCATGGGCCGCGCTCCCCGGCACCCATGACAGAAGCAGTAGTGGTGCCTCCCCTTATCAGAAAGTCGCTGCACCACGGGCAGTCGGGGCGACGCACGGCCAGGGCCCCGAGGCCCCTTAACTCAGCCCACACTCGGCTGAGACAGAACGGGGACCTGGGCACGAGGCTGCAGACTGCAGAGCGGCCCTCACCACCCCTCCCTCCATCCGACAGACAGCTCGGAGCAGAGGCAGCTGCCGGCCACGTGCCCAGCGAGTGTCCGCATGTTCCGGGCAAAGCCCAGCCCCTGTCGCACCGAGCACGCTGGGACCCTGGTCTGGGCTTGGTTTCCCTCCATGACAGCAACAGTGTCTGACCTGACGCCTCCTCCTGCACAGAGGGGACACCCTCTCCCCCAGCTGGGGAGCAGCAGGCTGGCTGGGTCCGCCCGGGGCCCTCTCACCCACTATGGGCAGCTACCCACTGGGTCCAAGTTCCCTGCAGGACCCAAGAGCACAACCCTGGGGCCCCCAAAGCCCCTGAGACCCTCAGCCTGAGCTCTCCGGCCGTCCACACTGCGGTGAGGTGGGCCCGGGCCTGGGCCTCCCTCCTGGCCTGTGGTCTCATCCCTTGGCCACACCCGGAGGGGAAGGGAGGGGAGGGGACCCCAGGCCTCGCAGCCGGCAGCCGGCACAGCTGCCCTCAGGCTGCCTGGCTCCTTCCTCCGGCAGGTGCCCAGGCCCAGGTTACTGCGGGGGCTCCCTAAGGCCTCCAACAGAGCGAGATGGGGTGCCGCTCAGCCCCCCAAATAGACACACGTTGTGGGCCCCGAGGCTGTGAGGGTCGTCACACACTGTCCCTTGCAGGCTCCCCCATCCCTCACCGACCTCACTGCGCCTCCTTGACAGACGGGGAAACTGAGGCCCCAAAGGAAAGCGGACGGGACCCAGGATGGGGTTGGGGCGAGGCACCCAGCGCTCCCGCCGCGACAGAAAGACCATCCTGGGCGGG